CCTCTCTCTCTCTCTCTCTCTCTAAATCACAAACTCTCCAGTGTTCATAATTGTACCTCACCCTATCTACGTTTCTATTCGTTGCTCTGCCAGGCGCGCATTTCTAACGTGCCGAAGAATCTCTCTCTCTCTACCTTGCCGAAGACTCTCTCTCCATATCTCCGACGGAATTTCAGGTTCCGTTCAAACTTTTTGGCGTCAAATTCAGATCTCAGCTCTCTCTCTCTCTCTCTCCTTAAGTTCCCGCTTCTAATTCGTCGAAGATCCATCCCTCTCTCCTCTCTCCTCTCTCCTCTCTCTCTTCCCTGTCAATCCAGCGCTTATAATTAATCGAAAATCCTCTCTATCTCTCTCCAGGTCTCTGTGAACTTGGACACGAAAGTCAGGTCTCTCTCTCTCTCCCTCGAATTTCAGGTTTTATTGATCTCTTCGGCTTGAAAACAAGGTCTCTCTCTCTCTCTCTCCTTTCCTCTCCCTCTCTCTCTCTTCGCTATCAATCGGGTTCATCTTACTTGTAGAAAAGTCTCTCTCTCTCTCTCTCTCTCATTTCAGAGCTCTCTTGAACTTCTTCGACACGAGCTTCATGTCTCGTTCAATCTCTTCGGCGTGAAAGTCAGGTCTCTCTCTCTACTAAATTCAAGTCATTCTCTCACGTCAACCTGAATTTCAGGTCTCTCTCGCTCTCTTGTTTCTTCCCCATGTAGTTGGATTTCTTTGGTCTCCTGTTTCTCTTATCGATTGCATTTAGTTTGGTTTCTCTGCTCTCTCTCGTTTGTTCCATTTTCATTACACTTATGTAGTTGTGTACTCTGCTCGGCCATTTACTTGCTCTCTCTCTCTCTCCCTATCAGATTTATTTCGTTATTTTTTCCCTTATCTGCTCTGTCCTACGTGCTTTCTCTATCTTGGTTCTTCCTTTTCGATCACGATTTCTTCTTTCTGATACAGATTTTAGTCGCATTTGCTTCCAATTTTATTTCATCTATTATTCTCTGCTATCCTGAGGAAACATTTGCTTAAAATTTGTAGCTTTCAATTTGTTCTCTTTAGAAATGCTTAAAATTTGCCTTCTCTTGGAAATTCGAGACAATCTATTGAATGACTTGAAGTTGATCATTTGAATCATAATTTTGATTTTGGAATTATTGTGGATTAGAGATGCTATTTAGTCATTTATCTTCTCAAAAAGTGAGGAATAATCCTCGTGTAGATACTGTAATTTGTTTGTCACAAAATGTTTTTTTTTCTTCAAAATTTTATACTTTTTCCCTGAAAATTTAAGATAAATCTTATGAAGTGATTGCCAGTTCTTTTATTTTGAGACACAAATTTGAATTGTTTTCATTTACTTTGTGTAATTGTCGTTCTTAATATAATTATGAAAATACAGTCCATGTATTTATTTCTTAACATTGGCTGTTTTTTTGAAAAAGTTATTATTCAAAAATCTAATCATTTACAATTTCAAGGAGATGCCATCTAAATATTGTGAGTTTTTAGTAAATTTTGTTCAGTGATCGGCTTCTTGCTGATTTGAGGCATTGGGCTTTTAAACTTATGTTTTTCATGTTGTTTTATATTTAGTTGCTTTCCAAATGGGGAGCCTTCTGCTGGAATGCTGGTTTTATTAATTTATTGGAGTATTATTGAATGCTGTAATTTATTGATTTATTACAACTCTTTTTTGTTCAACTTGGAAATTTTGTGGGATTTTTGGTCCGGGATACTCAGAAATCTGAAAATTCTCATTCATCCTTTGGTTTTTAATTTATAATTTTTGAATTTCTTTAAGTTGTTTATATCTCAAACAATATTAGAATATGTAATCATTTGAAATACTGCAACATGTCCTTCATGAACTTTTTCAAGGTAGGTTGTTCAAGTATTCACGTCATGCTTGTTTAATTTTTAATATTCGAATATAGTAATCATTTGAAATATTGCAACATGTCCTTCATAAACTTTTTCAAGGTGGGTTGTTCAAATGTTCACGTCATGCTTGTTTTAATTTTTAAATCCGAATTTTTCTTTTTAATAGTTTTTGATGAAATTTTTTTGATAATTTGATTGAAAATTAAAGATGGAAGCTCACCTGCCAACCTTTATAGCCACTTTTGGTTCTAACGAGAATTTACTCAAATCAATAATGTTCAACTCCGATTCCAAACCGTATATAAGTCCCTATTTATAGATGAAACCTTAACTTAAACCCCAAGAAACCCGAATTCTAATTTTTATGGTTGATTTTAGTGGTCTATAGCATGCTTTACTGGTTTTGCTCAGTGAATTTGGCTGAAAAATGCCTCTAAGGGTTTGAAATCAGCTGCATGCATCATTTTTCCATGAGAATCCTTGCTTAGTTTGTTGGAATGCTCATTATCTCATTCTTGGATTTTCTAAATACCTGCTTTAATGCTTTAACCTGACGCACTTTTCTTCTGCTCCTTTTTAATATGTTCTGATTACTTGTATTTTGAGTTTGTCACCTTATTTTACTCATTATCTTTCAATATATAGGGAATAATCAAAACTATATCTAAAACAATTTCTTTGAAAACTTTATTGTGCTGCGACTTGTTCTTTATATGGTTGTTTAAAATTAATACAACTCAATCTCTGTATAGAAATTATGAAAATGTTTGGATACTGTAATTTATGTTGTCTTATGTTATTTTCATGTTGAAACATACCATAGATTGACTCCCCAAGATGCTGACATATGGTTTCATTGAAGAGAAGAATGATTCCGCTAAGGATTTCACTACAGAGGTATGAGCTTAGTGTGTTCTACTGTGCTTTTCCTAATTTAGGGAATTCTCATCTCTGTTACTTTAGTCAGAGAGTCTTACCTCGTTGATGATTGATCATGAATTTAAGTTTGGGTTTGAATTTATTGACTAATGTCCTGCATGTACTCCTTATATCTACTTGTTCTTCATGGTTATATATGTACTGAATCTTTAATCTCGGTTCATGATGAACTCTTTTATTTAACTCTGGATATGTGGTTGCTTTCACACCTTTTATTAGACGCACGAGTTGATTGATATATCAAATAATGTTCTTCTATATGGGAACGCTCTTATATATAGAAATATGACTTCATATAGCTTCTCATCACATAATGGGTTATTTATTTTTATTGCCCCTCAGATGTTTACCTAGCCGATGACTTTTTGTATAACGAAGCACTGAAAATATACCTTCTGATTATCTATGGTTAACTATTCTCTAATCATCTACCTTGAACTATATAAATTCTAATTGCTGGCTGGCTCTTTTCCAGGTCTTTGTTGATCCAGGGCAACCAGCACCTTTGACTTGGCATCGCAAAATAAACACTAACCGGGATGCCCTTTCAGAATTCACTCTTACTATGCTTGAAAAGCTGAAGATGGTAATTTTGAAGAGCAATAAGATACTGCTTTCTAAATTTGTTGTACACTTGTTACTTAAATTTTTGTTCAACCATTTCCATGAAATTTTATTTTTTTGAATAATTGACATGTGAACAAAATTCTCATATGCTCTTCTATGATACTCATTTTTTTTGTTTTTAATTTATCCTAAATGTTTTGAACTTCTTTATTTTATAGGATAATGAATGCTAAATGTAACATGACAAAAGTTTGTTTTTTGAGTATAAATTATCAAAAGTATTATTATAGGGCACTCTTCCCCCTAAAATAAGAATGGCTGTTGCTGATGGTAAAATATATTTAAAAGTTATATTGTATGAATTTACAAAATGGGATTCTCTTGGAAAGGGATATTAAATACTCATTATTTGAGAGAATATTTACTTATTGTTGTGCACTCGTGATGAACTTCATTTTTTAATACGACATCTTGAATGTGGGCTATGCAATTTTTATAGCCTAGGTTTTTGAGAATTTAATATCATGTATCTATTGTTCTGATTCACCATGAATATCAATATATTTAGTTATATATTAGAAGAGTTTATTCTTGATGACAAAAAAAATATGTATTTGGATGTGACTTGATAAATGCGATCATGCATAGTAAAACAATGGTTTGGAGATGAATTACTGCAGAATGTGGCAAGATTGAAACTGACTAGCCTAGTAGTAGCATGAGAGTTATCATGGGAGGAAAATCTTTTTGTCCCTGTTTATTTTATCAGGAAACATTTTGAGCGTCTATATGGATATTGGTCTATGTATAATTTTAAGTATGTCAATATGTTCAATGACCAGTTTGTGGACACTTGCTTGTTGATTTGGATCTCCGGATTTTATTTCTGAAACCTGGTTTAGTAATTCATGAACACACTTTTATATCACTAAGCCTAGTCTTACCTTTTTTTCTTTAAAAAGATTCTTCTGTTTGGGTGAGTATGTTTTCTATTGGTATGTGGCAGATAGAGCAACACACACCTAAGATTTTCTGTATCTATAGTTGCATCTTAAGCAGACACAAGTGATTATTATTGTTTCAGCAAATATATTGTTACTATACATAGTAATCCAAGACACCACTTCTATCTAAAATGAGTCATTTTTAGTTTAATTGGGTTCATGTTTTAGTCTTCTTTCGTTTTTCACTACTTATGTCTAACTAAACTAACTTTATTTCTTAATGAATGACAGGCTAGTTTAGGTATTCGAATGTGGCGCCATATCAACGAAGAACATTCTAAAGGACGGGTAATTATTTCCTTATTCGTGATGTCATAATCAAACCTGTTTAAGGTATCCAATGCAATAACTTTATTTCAATTATAGCTACTTCCATTAATTTTTAATTTCTTCATTATCAATGTTTCCTTTTGCAGACAGCTGTTATTGATCCGTTTAATCCACAGATAAAGCATACATCTTGTCATGGCATCCCTCTTGGTGGGATTGGGTTAGTATTGATAGCTGATTGTAGTTGCTTGTATTTGAACTTTGACCTCTTTCTATTTTGTGACTATATATAGATGTATGACATGCAGACCTTTGGATTCTTTTATTTAAATTTGTTTTAGCATTTTTTTTTGTACATAGTGAATGTGCTATGGTATTTCACTTAACACAAGTATGTTAGACCTGGACTTGGATGGAAATCTACAGCCTCATAGTAAAGTAGATACTCTGATGAGCATGGTTTGCATTTAAATGTAGTAAGATTTGGGGGCTTCACTGAAATGCTATGTTTGTTGATTTTCTTATGCACTCTTGATAATAGAATATTATTGCATAGTTTTTAATAAGAGTAAACCTTTCAACAGCTGGATAACTATAATGAATAGTAATATAGGTGGAATATCAGCCGTCAGATCTTCATCATGTGGTTCAGAATGCATATTACTATATGAATTTTAATATTTTTTTTAGAAATCGGATCACAATAAAATTTTAGATGTGTGTACTAAACAATAGAGCGCACAATTAAAAAATATATGAAAAATATTTCCCAAAATAAGATGATCGAAATACCCCTGAAAAATGACGGGGGCAATTTGGTCATTTTAAATTATTGAAAATGTTTTTTTTATATTTTTATATGGTGCGCAAGAGTGTTAGGTATATACACCCAAAATTTTATCTTAATCAGATTTATGAAAATAATTAAAATTAAAATATCGATATGTATTTTGAACCACTCGATAAAGATTTGACGGCTGGGATTCCACCTATATTACTATTCATTGTAGCTGCCCAGCTATTATTAGCTTTCTCCTTTTAATAAAGATTAGGACATATGAGAATTGATTCCGAGCTAGTGGAATAAATATATTATGAGGGTGCATGAAATATGAAAGCGGATATATATATATATATATATA